ACAATCTCATGCAGCACTTGCCAGTCCCATTTTATTGTTTTTTATTTGTTGGTTTTTAGAGACAGGATCTCACTCTGTCACCCAGACTGGAGTACAGTGGCACGATCATAGCTCTCTGCAACCTCAAACACCTAGGCTCAAGTGATCCGCCCACCTCAGCCTAGCAAGTAACTGGGACTACAGGCATGTGCCACTATGCCCAGCTAATTTGTGTGTGTGTGTGGAGATGAGGTTTGCTATGATTGCCTAGGCTGGTTACAAATTCCTGGGATCAAGTGATCGTCCCACCTTGGCCTCTCAAAGTGTTAGGAATACAGGCATGAGCAACCACGCCCAACCATTCTCATTTTAAAATGAAACTAAGACTGAGAAGTTGGCTCTGTTATATGCTCTTACAGCACTCTGTACTTTTTTTTCTGGAGAAAGGATCTTGCTATGTTGCCCAGGCTGGTCTGAAATTCTTGGGCTCAAGCAATCTTCTGGCCTTATCCCCCTGAGTAACTGGAACTGGAGACAAACACCACCATGCCCACCAGCAAGCTGTACTTTTGTATGATTACCTGTTTAAGGTCTATCTCCCTTGCCAGTTATATCAGGGCAGTTTTCTCTACTTCATCATTGGCATGTAACACTATGTCTGGCACCAAGAAGATTTTCAATAAAAATGCATTGAATATTTATGCATATGGGAGATCTCATGTGACTAATCAAAGGCCATACTGTGTTAACAACCATCCTAATCTGTCTCCAAAACCTGTCTGTGATCTCTATTCTACCCCACCAAGTGCTTTCATGTTATCTCACTTCTAAATGTCCAGGTTCAATGTCCTTGTCCCTCAGCTGCTTGTAAGCATACATGCACCCCACCTATCAAGAACTCACTTATTCAGGGAAAGCTAGTGAGAGAGTAGAAAAAAGAAACAGCCCATTTGGGATTGTGCCCTCTTCCTACCCTCTTCAAGTCAGCATTTCTCCTCCTTCAAGACGCCTTTACAGACAGCTCCACCTGTCCGTCTGCTTCCCTTTCCTCTGGCCCTTCCTATACCTGTGCCACAAAAGTGTTTCCAAGTTACCTGGAGTCTGATCGTTCTACACATATTAGTACTTTATTAAAGCAATTTAACTCTATGGATGTTTAGTGAAGGCAAATGTGTGCTCAGGCCTGCCTCTGTCAGGCCTAGTGGGTCGACACAGAAATGAATCAGACGAAACCTCAAAGGACTTATAGTCAGTGGGGAAGACAGATATTAGGCACAGATGCAATTTACTAGAGCACAAAGCATGATGACCTAAATGGTATTAAAGAAGTAGGAACAACATGCTATATGCATAAACCTTAATTATTATTGTGAAGAGTGTATCATAGAAGATCAGACCTCAAAGGTGTCATCTAGTTCAACCTCTGTTTTCCAGTGGAAGAGTTTGAGACACAGAGAAGGGTGGGGCCTAGCCTAAAATCTCAGCCTGTCTGTCTGAGCCAAGACAGACTTCAAGTTGTTTTTTGTTGTTGTTTTTTTGTTTTTGTTTTTTTGTTGTTTTTTTTTTTGAGACGGAGTCTCGCTTTGTCGCCCAGGCTGGACTGCAGTGGCGGGATCTCAGCTCACTGCAAGCTCCGCCTCCCGGGTTCACGCCATTCTCCTGCCTCAGCCTCCCGAGTAGCTGGGACTACAGGCGCCCGCCACCTCGCCCGGCTAGTTTTTTGTATTTTTTAGTAGAGATGGGGTTTCACCGTGTTAGCCAGGATGGTCTCAATCTCCTGACCTCGTGATCCACCCGTCTCGGCCTCCCAAAGTGCTGGGATTACAGGCTTGAGCCACCGCGCCCGGCCTTGTTTGGTTTTTTTTTTGTTTGTTTGTTTTGTTTTTTTTTTTGAGACGGAGTCTCGCTTTGTTGCCAGGCTGAAGTGCAGTGGCATGATTTTGGCTCGCTGCAACCTCTGCCTCCTAGTTCAAGTGATTCTCCTGCCTCAGCCTCCCAAGTAGCTGGGGTTACAGCCATGCACCATCACACCCAGCTAATTTTTGTATTTTTAGTGGAGACGGGGTTTCACCGTGTTGGCCAGGATAGTCTCGATCTCCTGACCCCGTGATCTGCCTGCATCAGCCTCCCAAAGTGCTGGGATTACAGGCATGAGCCACTGCACCAGGACAGACTTAAAGTTTTCTAAAGCCCAGCCTTGGGCTCTTGCCTCCTCCTCTGATAGCTTCATATGCAAAGTCCTGTACTTCATCAGACCATGAGATCTTTGAGGCTGGGTCAGGTTCTCCTTCCTAAACCAGGACTAGACAAGCCCAAGACACTTACAGGCTCAGGAAATGCAGTCTGATCCCAGGCTGCCAATCCAGTCTTTCAATCTGCTGCACCTAATGTGCTCCCTACTCTTACCATATGTCCTTAAATTGATTTTCAAATATTTTTTGCAGGAAACTTAAAATTAAACTCTTTATGCAGAATACCAGCAAATAAATCAGATAAAAGTGAACCTTTTCTGGTTGAAGGGGAGAGAGTCCATAGCTCCATTATTTTTCCTGCTCTTAAGTCCTGGGAAGGGAATTCTAGGAACACATGTCAAAAACATTTGCTCTGGAGCTGGATGTGGTGTTGTGTGCCTGTAGTCCTAGCTACTTGAAAGGCTGAGGTGGGAGGATGACTCGAGTCCAGGAGTTGCAGGACAGCCTAGGCAACATAGTGAGATTCCCATCCAAAAAAAAAAAACAATAAACAACAACAAAAAAAGCTTTTGTTCTGGGACATAATTTTTAATGGTGTCATAGAGGCTGCTTTAGCGTATGGTCTTCCTCTGAATCCTGTCATATATGGGGCTCACAATCCTTTCTTTATTCATGAAATGCCAAGCACCCCAGTGCCAAGTGGTCCCAATGGAGTATGGATGGGAATGAGATTTTCCCCTTGTCCCTCCTGCTCTCACATCCTCCACAGAGAGAAATTTGTCTGAAGGGCTACAGGGACCGGACCAAAGAGGAGGAGAGACCCAAACACTGCCTGGCAGGTCAGGGGAGGCTTCTAGAGAAGGATCTTTGAGAAAGACTTCATCCACATAGTCATTCACCAGCCTGAATCTGATAAAGCATCTGTTTTCAAAGGTGATACAGTAGCCACCAGCTACACATGCTATTGACCACTTGAAATGTGTCCAGTCAAATTGAGATATATTGTAAGTATAAAATACACACCACATTTCAAAGACTTGGTACAAGAAAAGAATGTAAAGTATCCAGTCAATTTTTATAACCAATAATTTTTTATGTTGATTACCATGCTAAAAGATAATATTTTGAGGCCGGGCGCGGTGGCTCATGCCTGTAATCCCGGCACTTTGGGCGGCCGAGGCGGCCAGACCACGAGGTCAGGAGTTCAAGACTAGCCTGGCCAACATGGTGAAACCCATCTCCACTAAAAATACAAAAATTAGCCAGGCATGGTGGCGCGTGCCTGTAATCCCGGTTACTTGGGAGGCTGAGGCAGGAGAATCACTTGAACCCAGGAGGTGGAGGTTGCAGTGAGCCCAGACTGTGCCACTGCACTCCAGCCTGGTGACAGAGTGAGACTCCATCTCCAAAAAAAAGATAATATTTTGGCTATGTTGAGCTAAGCCAAATATTGTTAAAATTCATTTCATTTGTTTCTTTTCACTTTTTTTGAAATGTCATTACTAGACAGTTTTTTTTTTCCTGTTTCCTTTTAGTTTTTACTAGACAGTTTTAAATTACTTATGTGGTTCCTATTAAATTTCTTTTATAAAAAATATAAGTAGGCTGGGCATGGTGGCTCACACCTGTAATCCCAGCACTCTGGGAGGCCGAGGCAGGCGGAACAACTGAGATCAGTAGTTGGAGACCAGCCTGGCCAACAAGGTGAAACCCCGTGGCTACTAAAAATACGAAAATTAGCCGGGTGTGGTGGCGTGCACCTGTAACCCCAGCTACTCGAGAGACTGAAGCAGGAGAATTGTATGAAACTGGGAAGCGAAGGTTACAGTGAGCCAAAATGGCACCACTGCACTCCAGTCTGGGCGACAGAGCAAGACTCCATGTCAAAAAAAAATAATATATATATATGCAGCTGGCCAGGTACGGTGGCTCACGCCTATAATCCTAGCACTTCGGGAGGCCAAGGTGGGAGGATCACTTGAGGTCAGGAGTTTGAGACCAGCCTGGCCAACATGGTGAAACCCCATCTCTACTAAAAATACAAAAATTAGCCTGGTGTGGTGATGCACGCCTGTAATTCCAGCTACTCGGAAGGCTGAGGCAGGAGAATCGCTTGAACCTGGGAGGCAGCATTTGCAGTGAGCCGAGATCATGCCACTGCACCCCAGCCTGGGTGACATCGTGAGACTCTGTCAAAAAATATGTGTTTGTGTTTACAGAGACAGGGTTTCACCATCTCTGTGATTACAGGCAGATGCCACGTGCCAGGTTCTCAGAGTATATTTTTAAAAGATACTTGTTTAGTGTTTGAGACGTGCATTGACAACAGGTCTTTTACACCCATTCTCATGTTATCTTCAAAATTATGGGGTGAAATATAATTATTCTATTTTACCAAAGACAGATTTGAGGCTCAGGTTAAGCTATTTATTCCTGGAATCAATCCTCTTATTTGAAAAGCTTCTGGAAGACAGGGATCCTGTCTTAAACGTGTTTCTTCACAGCACCTAGCACGGAGCTCTGTCCACGTGGTAGGCGTTCAGAAAGTTTGCGCTGAACGAAGGATATGGATTCTCAAGTCAAAGCTCCGGGCGTTGACTCTCAAGTCAAAACTCCAGGGAATTGAAGCACCAGAGGGCGCCCATGAACCCGCCCACCCGCGGGTCCCCAGGGCCCAAGCCGGACCTCAGGCCTGGGTGCGCCCCAGCAGAACAGGGGGCGCGGGGGCGAGGGAAGCCCCAAGTCCTCCGTTCGCCCCGCCCCCTCCCCAGAGCCACGCCGCACGGAGCTGCACGGTGCTGAACGACGACTCGACATCCTGTTTTTGGGCCCCGCGGCTCCGCCTGCGCCTCTGCTGATCTTGTCTTTCCCTTGGGTGCTGACGCCAGCGCCTCTTCCCCTACGAGTCTCCCCACCTTCCCCAGGGGTCTGGGGCCTTCCCACTGCTGAATCACCACCACCTCGCACTCCCCCAGTGCTCAGGGCAGGGGTGGGGACTGCCCCAGCCTCGGCCACTACTCTATCCCTGGGGCTGGCTGAAGGCACCGGGGCTGGCTGAAGGCACCAGGCCCAGGGGCGCCTTTCTCAGCATCTTCCCGCGGAGGCTGGTGAGGTCAGGATGGGGGGAGGAGGAGGAACGCCTACCGCCTAGAGTAGGGCCTCCAGGGGTGGGGTGGCCAGGAGGAGGCAGAGAGACCTAGACCTTGGGAGGCCTGACTTACTGGCCGCAGGGGCAGCGGGTTGGGAGGGGGAAAGTGGCGAGCCCGGGACTAGGCCGGGGGCGAGGCTGGGGGCGGGCCGGGGCTGAAGAGGGGGAGACCGGCCCTCAGACTTCCTGGTCGGGCCCCGCCCCACCCCGCCCCGCCCCGCCGGTCCGCCCCCCCCACTTCCTCCGGCCTCCCGCTCTCACTTCCTTCTCGAGCCCGGAGCTGCTGCCGCCGCCCCCAGCTCCCCCGCCTCGGGGAGGGCACCAGGTGAGGCCCGGCCGGGGCTGGTGGGTAGGGGTCCGGGGAACGGGAGCCCGGCCGGCCCAGGACTCGGCGCGGGCGCGGGCGCCGGCCCATGAGTTTGCTGGCGGGGGCCGCGGGCGGGAGCTTCTAGGCTCAGTCCAAGTAGGGCGGGCGCGGCCGGCCGGGCGGGGCGCGGACGGGGCCACTGCGAGCCGGTGGAGGCTCGGCGAGGGTGGCTTCCCGGCGGCTGTACCGCCTCTCGGGAGCCGAGAGGGACCCCTGAGGTCAGAGGGTCCCGGGCTCCAAGAGAAGTATCTCTAAAGTGGAAAAGCTCAGAGCTGGGAGATAGGACTCAGGTGGGGTGTCCTCAGAGGTTGCGGGGGGTGTTGAGAAGTGCATGAGGGGAGAGGGCTTCTGAGCTGGAAAAGTCACTCCCTCTGCTCTGGCAGTTGTGACACTTGTCGGGGTTAGAGGGGCGGTGTCTGGGGCCTCCGAAAGCTCTCTCCCTGGAAGATCCATGCTAATCCAGACTCACACTCGGGCTGCAGCCCGAAGGCCCTCTGCACTCAGGAGGACCGGGGTTAGGGTTGGGGGAGCCCCGCCGATCCCAGTTGTTCTCTATATGCCTGTTTTCCTGAGTCCCAACCTTACCTGGAGCCAAGCAGTAGGTATTTAGTGAGCGAACGCTGTTCCTACCTGACCAGAGTCTGGCCTTGCTCTTTTGGGAGTAACTTGGTCTTGCCCTGTGACTGGAAGTGGAAGGACTCTCATTCAGAGGTACTGATAGTCCCTGACAAGTTTTTGTTGTGTCTTTTGGGGCCGATTGAGAACCATCTCCTAGTGTTCCTCTTCATTCTTAGTCCCTGAATTATACACATGCTCCTATCGTTTCCCTCCACGCCTTTAGTTTCTACCCAGAAATCCGCCATCACTCTCTTCTCATCCCTTTCAGTCTCTTTTCCTCCAAATATGCAGTCATACCTAGGCCTTGACCTCTCTTCACCTACCCGGCCCCATGTTCATCTCAGTCCTCTGCAACCTGCCCCATCCCTTCCCTTCCCAGCTCTGGCACCCACACACTTACACCTCCTTGCGTTTTCCATCACCCCTCATTCCTCTTGAACCTTCAGCCTGTCACCCTCTCTGTATCCTTCTCTCCCACCCACTTATCTCCAGCTTTGGAATCAGGATCTGTTGTTGAAGACTTAGTGAGTTCCAGAGTCTTTTCAAACCTCCCTAGCTTGGAGAGGCAGACTGCAGCCTCCCGGTGATAGAGATGGATTAAAGAGCTGGAAAGCGTGTGTGTGTGTGCGTGCGCGCACGAGAGAGAGAGAGAAAGAGTGTCTGTGTGTCTACATCTTTATCTCCTACAGACAAAATAACTGCCCTCAGCCTTGAGAGGGCCCAAGGGGAAACCAGCAAAATGAAGGGAACCTGCAGTGAGTGAGGTTGTGGTTAGGCAGGAGGAAGCAAGCAGTCTGTAGCAGTCAGGGTAGGGTAACAGGAATAAGACTGGTAAGAGAGGCCCTGGGAAATCAAAATCACCCCAACCTGTGGTGCTTGACCAAGGGGCCAGGCCTGGAAGCCGGGAGACAGCCTGAAGGTCCCTGACTCCATTACCTACTAGTTCCAGCATCACCTGGTGGAAAGAATGGGACCAACTTGGGTGTGATGGAAATAAAGGGAGGAGGCAAAGGCAGGATTCTGGAGGAAAGACTGCAGCTGGTCTAACTTCGAACTTAACTGTTTTAGTTTTGAATTAAGAAGCGGTTGAGGCAAAGGTGTCTGCTCCTTTCCTGCTGCCTTCCGGGGCCTGCCTAGGCCGGGTACCCAGATGCCCTGGTCTGCATCAGGGCCTTAGTGACCAGGAAGCCCTCTGGAGTTCTACTGACCCCTCTGCCTTCAGGCATCCTTAATATTCCCCATCTCACCTAGGACCCTATTCCTTCTCCGGAATTCCTCCCAAATTTAACTTCAGTCCATCCTGGCTATGGAAGCTCTTGTTGTTTCCACTCTAGAGCTCCTTCCTCAAGCTTTTGGGGTGCATGCTGAGGATCTTGCTTCTATCTACCTCCTCCAGTCATCTGTATTCATTTCTCTCCACTAGAAAAAAAAGAGAAGTAGAGGGGAGTTAAGTGCTACAGCTAAATTTAAGGGCTCTCCCTGTTCCCCATTCTGTCATCTTCCCATGTCACAGTCGTCCCTCTCCCATGAATTGTTCTTCTTCCCATCCCTTCCACCCACCTGTCTTTCTTTGCATTTCTTGGAGGTACAGAAGTGTGGCTGCGGGAAGAAATCCCAGGGACCTACATAAAAGCCCAGTTTAGAGAAGGATGTGCATACAAGGCACTTTCCCAGCATCACAGCTTAATAAAAACCCCAGGAGTCCCAATTTCTAGGCTGGCAAACCAGTAGTCACTTTAGTATTCTGCGTAACTGAGCAAACCCACAGGGCTCTGATGGTAAAGACAAGATGGGTGAGACAGGGATTCTCCCAGGTGAGATCTGGTCCCATTGGAAGTTTGAGCTAATTGCAAAAAAGGCATTGTTGGAAAAAATGTGACCAGGGCGGGAGAGATTTTAATGGGAAAATATTGGGGGGTGAAGGGAGGTGGTGGCTACAACCTAGGAGGCTGCCACTAAAGTCTTGGCTAAACATGTCAAGGTTGTGACGTGAAGAAGGGGGCTCAGGCCCACACTGAAGACTCCTTCTATATATTGTAGACCCATTAGCAGTGAGGTCAGTAGGGGTCCGTGAGAAGAGCTGAGGAGGGAAACCAAAGACAAAGCCTGGGCCACCTCCCCAGATCAGACTGGTTTTCCTGTCCAGGGTCCAGCTTCCTCTTTTGTCCTCATTTCATAAGGGGGGAGGGCATCTCTCCAGGAGCTAGAGGCCAGAGGAGGAGCTTCTCAGCTAGGGCAGGGCCAGAGTGGCTGACTGTTGAGTAATGTCAGTTCTAAATCATGAATGCACCAGGATGGGCTAGGCATGAGGGCCTGGGAACTTAGAAGCAAAAAGGGCTCAGATGTAAGTCAACCCACCCTTTGGTCCATTTTCTGAAGGAATAAACTATGGTGGGGTTGTCCTGAATGAGGTTAAAGAGATGGTTGGTCCATTCTCAGGCTGGAGTTAGAATCCTCACCTTCTCTCCTTTGTAGAAGTAGCATAAGGATGGAGGTTAGAAGACCCGATCCTTGTCCTAGATTTGCTACCAACTGTATATAATCCTGGTCAACTTGGTTTCTCTTGGCTCCATTTCAGCATTAAGGAGTTGCATATCAGTACCTCCAAAGGGGACAGTGAACATCATGGCTCTGACTCTTCCTCCCCCAAGAGACTCCTCATAGCAGTGCCCCTCACTCTGGGCCCTCATGTCTTATCAGCCTCAATTTGACAGGTCTGAGTAGTCTCTACATATATATCTGTCCAGGGATAGAACTGTGGCCCTTTCTCCAAGCACAAGGATTGTTAGAGCTTGAGAGATAAGAAGGCAAAGAATGTTGGGGATTTTGCCAGGGGGTAGTAAGATGGAGTACCCTGTCTCCTGCTCCAGCTCTGCCTCACTGACGGTGGAAAATAGATGCCGGAGTTTCCTCCCTGATGTTATTTTCCCTTGTGGAAACCCCCTCAAGCCTTGGGCGGGGCTAAAGGGACTGGGTAGCCCTGGGTCTCTCTGTGGGTATTTTCAGGTGGGGGTGCCAGGATTGGGAGGATGGCACTTCTGTACAGCCTCATGTGAAATTAGCAAAGGCAAAGGAAGTGCCACTTCACAGGCCTTTGGTGGGGCCCAGGGACTGCTGAGCTGCTGCTAGGCGGGGAGGAGGAAGCCAGTGTGCACCCTTCCTCTGTGCTGTGTGGGGGAGGGGGCAGCTTCCGTGGCTCCCCCAGCCAGAGCCGTCCTGGTCCTGAGGCTCACCTTTTTTTTTTTTTTTTTTTTTTTTTTGAGATGGAGTCTTGCCCTGTCACCCAGGCTGGAGTGCAATGGCACGATCTCGGCTCACTGCAACCTCCACCTCCTAGGTTCAAGTCGTTCTCCTGCATCAGCCTCCCAGGTAGCTGGAACTGCAGGCATGTGCCACTAGGCCCGGCTAATTTTTTTTGTATTTTTAGTAGAGATGGGGTTTCACCATGCTGGCCAGGCTGGTCTCAAATTCCTGACCTCAAGTGATCCGCCAGCCTCAGCCTCCCAAAGTGCTGGGATTACAGACGTGAGCCACGTGCCCAGCTGAGGCTCACCTTTTATGGAACACTTGGGGTGCTGGGACAATGAAGGAAGAAGGTTGGGAACTAGGACTTAGTGAAAGGGTCCTGGACTGCCCCTCAGACTTCCCAGCTACCACTGTCTCATTTCCTAGTGGGTGGCATCAACTCTTCTTTCCTTCCCTGCTGCAGTGTAGGATCCTCTCCAGGGGCTGAAGGATGAATGGCAAGAGGTGGAGAGTCCTCCAGCATGGATTTTTTTTTTCTTTTTTTTTTTTTTTTTGAGACGGAGTCTTGCTCTGTTGCCCAGGCTGGAATGCAGTGGCATTATCTCTGCTCACTGCAACCTCTGCCTGCTGGGTTCAAGTGATTCTCCCTCAGCCTTCCGAGTAGCTGGGATTACAGTCACCCACCACCACACCCGGCTAATTTTTGTATTTTTAGTAGAGATGGGGTTCCACCATGTTGGGCAGGCTGGTTTCGAACTCCTGATCTCAAGTGATCTGCCTGCCTTGACTCCCAAAGTACTGGGATTACAGGCGTGAGCCACAGCACCCAGGGGAATTTTTTTTTTTTTTTTTTTTTAAGGCTAGGAACTGGGCTCTCTTGGGTTCTTCCCTGCTGATGGGGAGAAAGGGAAGAAAGAGACTCAGCCCTTGGCCTGGTCCCAGCCCCACACTGACCTCATGTCCCCCCAGCTTCCTCCTCCCAGCCCAGCTGCAGCCAGCTGCAGCCCCTTTGAGCCTCTTTATATCACCTCTCCTCTATTCCTCCCTTCAAAACAAACAAACAAACAAACTTGTAGAGCTTCAGAAGTCTTTCC